TGTGGCATGCAGTCTGTGCCCAGCGGACTAGAGGAGGATTGCGTGTATGACCCCAATAGAGTGAAGGTGGTGTGCATCGCAAAGGCCCCGAGCGCTGCCATAGAGAAGGAGTTACAACAGCTTATTGCGAGATCCATTAGCGGAGGTGGCGGCAGTGCTCCGGACAGGTGCCCACTGTGTAAGAGGATGACCCAGCAGGGATCTCAACACATCGAGCAGCAGTGCTGGAAGTGTGGGAAAAAAATCTGCATTCTCATGTCCAAGCATTTCTGTCCATCTTAAAGGTCCAGTGTGTAGGTGAAAATAAACTATTTACAGAAATTTAATGAAGAGTAATCATAATGATGTGTTCACTAGTTGGTTTCATCTAAATTGCATGAATTGTAGTTGTCTTTACCACAGAAAAGGCCCTTTATATATTAATACTTAAATATTTACATCGAGGGGGTCCTCTCCATGTCTCTTACATTAGTCCAGACTGGACAAACAAAACACCTTTTGAGTTTTTATGACAACTGAAGCTACCAAAGGTTCTTTTTCATGTTTGGAAGGAGAGGGTGAGGTGAGAGGTGTTCAGCTGCAACATGCAACTTCAACACTAGATATCACAAAATTCTACACACTGTACCTTTAAACCCTGACGGCGGTTGAAGGAGGAAGACGGCTTGGAAAACAGAGCAGACAATCAAGCGAAGACAACCTACAGCCACATGAACAAACCCAGAGTGCATGTGATGAGAACCACAGCAGAGTTGTACTGACAGGAAACACAATCACATCAACTCACAACTTCATAAAGTCTACACTCTTTAAACACCTTGAGTCCCCTCACAGCATCAGGTTACAAACCAGTTGTCTCAGGAAGATTTTCTTGGATCGCCACCTCATACTATGGATTGTTTTCATTACATATATTCCTATAGATTTTTCAGTGTCTGCATTAACAGTTAAACGACTATTTTTACTAAAATGTTCATTTCTGATTTCTACTGCACAAGTGTTATACTCTCCGAACATCATGCATTATGAATTTGTGCCTTAGTATGAAAAACTCTTTGTAAAGCAACATTACTTTTTCCCTTTATCACATTTTGAAATGTAATAATAAAGAATGATTCTGATTCTTAGAAAAAGTTGACATTTAGTCAGCACTACATTATGTAACAGATCTGATATATATATATATATATGTATATATAAAATACACACACACACACACACATATATATATGCACAGTATATATATACATATACATATATATGTATATATTTATTTAAGATGTCTCACGTAGAAGTCTTACAGAATTTTTAAACTACAAAAATACAATGCACAAAAGTATTTTGATACAAAATGTGAATACATTTTCATTTCAGTCTTTTGCAACACAGGGAACCTGCCCTCTGCTGGCTGAACAATAAAACCTCACACAGTTGTTGATGTAGAGGTTTTTAATTCATACAACACAGTATGTGGTACATAATTATGGAGGAGGAGAAATGACTTCTGTTTATTTCTCGTCCTCCATACTTTCCAAGATGCGTCTGAAGCAGCAGCAACAAAGAAAAGTGTAAAAGCTTACAGCACCTGGTATTCCCAGGCGGTCTCCCATCCAAGTACTAACCAGGCCCGACCCTGCTTAGCTTCCGAGATCGGACGAGATCGGGCGTGTTTAGGGTGGTATGGCCGTAAGCGAATGATCACAACCACAACACCTTATTTATACATGTGAATCATCACCATCATCGATTGTTTTGTTGCTTTGCGATCCTGGAATCTTGAGGTGGGGGAGGGGTTAAATTGTTCAGAAAAACAAGCTCAGGGTGCAATTTTGTCATATCAGTGCAAGAAAAAAATCATTAGAATTTTTCACAAATTGATGAGCAGTCTTTCCATACATTAGTCCTCCTGCTCTCACTGCTGCTTGAAGTCAGCAGACGTGATTTTAAAAGAGGTTCTCGTTGATCCGGTAGCTCATACTGCTTTGACTCGTCATTTCGAATCCCGTCCCAGGTTTTTGTACTTTATATATTTTTTTACTCATATGATTTATATTGTTTTGTAATGCGATGACACGGACAGACATATATTAACTCGTGACGGGGTTTTGTTTGGTGCTTTGTGAAAAATGACGAATCTGCGACCGAGTCTGCAACCGACCGGCAACATCTGGAATAAAGACAACAAATCACCAGAGGCCACGATCCCCAGTTAAACTGCAACACCTGTCGAGACGTCGACAGTCACGTGACGTAACGTCACAGCAGCACGCGCTCACTCTGGAGGAAGAGGTTTAGGAGACAGAGAAGATCAGATCTGACATCACTGCAGCCTCTCGTTAACAACACGTGTGTTTTTATTTATGTGAAACTCGTTTGGACGCGATGACAAGTGTTGATGACGTGCGGGAAAACGTAAAGGTATTGATTATTGGTTTTGAATCATACACCGATGTCAATCAACTTCTGCTCTTCGTCTTGAAAACACCGATATCCGCTCTTGTCATTGAGATCGATACATTTTAGCTTCTTCATACGCGAACACTACGTCAAAACTCGTATGCTACGTTCCTATTATATAATAAACAGTGGCAACTGGCCAGTAGAGGGCACTAGGAGAGTGTGTGTTTTTTTATTAAAAAAATCTAACTATGATAACTTATTTAAGTATTTATGTGATTAAAATCACCATAAATAAAATATAAATAAATATGTCCAGTGAAATGTGTGGGAAACGAGTGTTCAGGGCACAGTCTATGGTTCAAGCGCGCTGGAAAATAATGCCAGCACCACTGACACTCTGTTAATGGCAGCTACCAAATAAGGTACAATCTCTTCTCCAAACTCCATTCGAGAGAACTTTGGTTGAAAAACTGTGAATTCAAGAAATTGGACGAGATCAACCTGATATTAAAATCAGCCAAACAAGCCAGCGAAAAAGGTGAAACCTGAGGTGAGGGGAACACACATGAAGTTTTCTGTGTTTAAAGTTTACCCCATAAGATATCCAGAAGTATATGGCACCTCCTTTTATTTTGTTTTAGTGTAATAGTATTTGTTAGTAGTACTGTATATGTTTGTATGTATAAAATAATTTAGTTACATGTCGGAGCAAGTGTTAATAGCACATTGCATAACATGACTATGTGTGCAGAAATATTATGGCGGTCGACTGGAGTCCTCCTGTGATCTGCAAACAAGTGCTGCCTCCTGCACTTTGTCCTTGGGCTCAGTGCCGAGGAGTGTCAAAGATGCACTGAGGCTGGTTCACCCAGAGGTGACCAAAAGGTACAGTGCCTCTACATTTTATATGTCAAGTTTATTGTTAAAGCACATTCAAAACAAGCAGAGTCGACCAAAGTGCAATACGATCACTGAGAACAAAGAAAATTCAAGAATACATTTCCCTCTGGGTCAGTAAAGTATCTATCTGTCTATCTATAAGATATCTATAAAATAAAAGAGGCCTACATGATAAAATAAAATGTGAGAATTCTTTTTATCTTTTTATTCAGTTAAATGCAAAAAAGTGAATAAAAATAAGTAAGACAGTCGAAAGCCTAATAGAACATGCAGGTCTTCTCAGAAATCTCTGCACAGTCACATGACCAACATCTTGTTCATCAAAATCACATCCAGTAGAAAAAACACTCTTCCTCTCGTCTTCATTTGTTATTTTTGTTCTGAGCACCACAGGATTATCTCTGTAATGTCCATACACATCCTGTCATTGAAAAGTAACTCTGTGTTAATGCACTCTTGTCCTTAACAACCCCCTATCCAGATTCTTCGGGTGCGGCCTTCCCTTCCCCGCGAAGCTCGAAGGCTGCAGAGTGCTGGACCTCGGCAGCGGCTCCGGCAGAGATTGTTATGCCTTCAGCAAACTTGTTGGCCCGAGTGGACATGTGATGGGGATCGATATGACGGAGGAGCTGGTAGCTTTACATGCATGCTCACACCACCAACTCTTAAATTCTGTACCTTCCACTGATTTAACTCGTCTCTGTTTAGGTCACTGCTTCTCAACAGTACATTGAGTATCATCAAAAGAAGTTTGACTACAAGGAGCCAAATGTTACCTTTGTCCAGGGGTACATGGAGAAGCTTGGTGAAGCTGGCATACAGAGTGGCTCAATGGATGTTGTGCTGTATGTTTAAAGTGCAGTAACAACTGCTTTCAGACAGAACTCAGAAGATCCTCCGGACATTCTCTGGCGTCCAATTAAAAGCCTCCTGACTTTCTGCGGACTCTCTCCGGGCCAGTCCTGTAGTATAAAGTCAGCAGAATGTCCGGGGGAGCCAATGTTAGAACACAGCAGGAGATCCACTGCAGAATTGCGAGTGAGTGAGAGGGTTGATGACGTTTCTAACACGTGACAGATGTACGACTAAAAAATAACTAACCCAAAAGTAAACAAATATCCTGTGATGAAACAGCGGTGCCACACACTTAGAAGACACAGACACTGGTGTTGATGTGCTGTAAACAAAAACACGTGATCTCTACAGCAGGATTAATACATTACATCCTGCTTCTGTCTTCTGCACCACCCCTCACCTGAACGCTCTGGAGATTTCGGAGTTGTTCAGAACTCGTCTGAGCACAGAATCTCCTGCTGCATCGACTCTACGAGATCTGAGAATTAATTTAATGATCTGTTATTTACAGAGAACTTTGTTATGTTGATAAAAACTATTTTTTCCTTCTCATCTATCCAGATCCAACTGTGTCATCTGTTTGTGTCCTGATAAAAGAGCAGTGCTACAGCAAGCCTACAACGCCCTCAAGGTTGGTCTGAAGAAATTCTACCAGTTGATTACTCATTGAAGTTTGGCGGGTTATTTTATCAAGCCTTATTTTGTCCTTTAATTCTGTCATCATGTTTTACTGTAATAATTGGCCATGCTACAGTGATGCGGGTGAAGTGACATTGATTCAAGTTTAAAAACTGCGAACCACTGTTGAGTGTAAATATTCGATTAATGGGTCCTCTTTAAACAGATTGTGACCGTCTGTAGTCTGAGTAATAGTTAGTTTGTCATGAATCTGGTTTAACTTTGAAAACGTATCTGTCTGTGACAAACCAACCTCCCTTTAACAGTGTTCTCTCTGCATGTTCTCCCCGTATTCACAATGGTTGTCTCTAGATACTCCACCTTCTTCCTACAGTCCCATAGGTGTTGGGTTGATCACAGACTCTAAATTGACTGTATGTGTTAATGTTAGGGTGAAAGGTTGTTTGTCTGTGTTGGCCCTGCGACCTGTCAAGGGTGCATCCTGCCTGCTCAATGTCATGGTCCTGATCAGTATATAAACGGATGGATAGATGTTTTATTACGTATATAGGATGTAATGATGCTTGTGCACTGCAACATATATATGATCAATATGTTTCTCCATATTTTATCTGTAATTTTACATTTGTGGTTCATATTGTCACTGAGTCATTTTCTTCTGTTTTGCATAATACAAAGTTAATGCTCATTCTTTATTTTTTCAGTAATCCTGCTGACAGACAAATTGCAATGAAAATATAACCTTCTTAGCAAAGATTTCTTTTCTATTCTTGAAAGACACTTTGGCACAAACTTTGTATGATTTTTTAATATTTTATACAGGAGGGAGGTGAACTGTACTTCAGTGACATGTATGCCAGCAAAGTTGTTCCTGAACACATGAAACATGATGCAGTCCTGTGGGGTAAAATAACGCATCATCATTGAAAATCCAGTTTAAAGGGCAAAAATACCTAGTAGGATCACTCTATCACTGTGGGTTTCTTCTTTCTGGTCTAAGGTGAAGGAATGGGTGGTTCTTTGTTTTGGCAAGACCTCATTGCATTGGCCAACAGCGTAGGTTTCAGCACTCCACATCTTGTCTCAGCAAGCCACATTGTGGTCCACAACAATGATCTCAAGGCAAAGGCAGGTAAGAAACAAAAAAAGGGCAAGATTAAGCTTTTAATGATGTGTTTAAACATCATTCTACAGCTGAGCCAGCTCTTCATTGTGCAGGTGACGTCAGCTACACTTCTGGGACTTACCGGCTCTTCAAGCTGCCCAAACATACAGTCATGTCTCGGGCAACAGTGACCTACAGAGGAACTGTGGAAGATTTCCCAGATGAGCTGGACTTTGATTCATCAAACTGTTTCAAGGTATTTCACAAGTTGGTGTATTGTTACAAGGAACATTTTGATACTTTGAAAGACATGTAATGTATCATTATGTTTGTGCTCTACAGAAAGATGTTGCAGTGGAGGTAAATGGAGAGATGGCAGCGATTCTCCAGACATCCCGTTTCTTCCCTGATTTTGAAATCGAGGTGCTAGATGAACCTGAGTCCATCCCAGAGTCAACACCACAGGTAGCTGTTATTTTTGGTTTGATGAGTAAAATGCTTTAATTCTAATTGATTGATTATTGTATTCACTGTAGCTTGAACCCATTTTGTGCATGCAATCAGATCAAGTTATCTTTTAATTATTTGAAAAGCCCTTATTTGAAATATCCCATTTTCCAAATATTAAAAAATAAATCAGATTGCACAACTTAAGAACTCTGATACAAAGAGATCATTTTTGGACCAAATTAATGTTTAAAGTTTTACAGTAACAGATCCACCGATGTTCTTTATTTTTTCCTCAGTACTGCCACATCAACCCGTTTCTGTTGGCTGACAAACTGGGGTCTTGTGTCCAACAATGCTCCAAAACACGCAAAGAAAGGGTCAAATGAATACAGATACAATATATTTGAAGGACATCTCCTTAGTTTTTACAGGTTACTTAAAGGCTAAATATGTGTGTAATATACAGTATATTTGCTGACCATCATGTACCTGTGAAGATGTAGAAGGATTAGTGTCTGTCTGTGTTCATAGTCGATGTTTTCATTGGATAATATAGAGTAGTTTTACAACATTACATCATCAACAAAAAGCTGTTGAAAATAAGGATCTCACATGTCAACTGATGAAATATAAATAAAAATCTTTTTGTTTGTGTCTCCAAAACTTTTTCTCTGTTGTGGTCGGTCAATGATTTATTAAATTGTGTGTAACACAAACTGAAGGGAAAAAAACTAGAATACATAACCATAGTGAAGCCACAGTTCTTGTAGAACCAACACTCATCACATCACATGCTCAGGGTCTTAATGGAATGAAGGCTGATAATATAGATAACCAGTGCTGTTGAAACTCTTCACATTAATTTAATACCTGAGCATTACTTGTATTTCCTGAGTAACTAAAAGACCTTTAACATGCTACAAAGTGCTTACTTACATGCTCTTACTTAAATCCAGTTTCAAGAATTTGGATTCTACAATTTAAGATAAAGACAGAACAAGTTACCTCTCTGCTGTAAACATTTGCGATATAAAGGATTAAGGCAGTACAGTACATATGAAACAAACTTCAAACATAAAGGTCAAATGAACTTAATTATCAACATGTTTCTGTATTTTAGATTTTAAATAACTTAAACCCAAACTCTTAACTTAATAAATTCTTCAAAGTGGATACATTACATTGCACTATTATTGCAGGGTACCAATATATTTGGATATAATGATATATGGTGATGTAACGCAATTTATTAATGACAAAGTGTAATGGTTTACAAACTTGATTTTAACTGTGGCTGGGCTGTATTCATTACGCTGAGATTAGATTATTCACTTGATGCCCAGTGTGTGTAAATTCAATAAAGTGTAAATTCAGTAAAGCTGTGTGTGCTGCTATGGTAACAGTGTACTGAGTTAGGGAGGAGAAGAGGTCTGATTGGCTGTCAGGAGGCCTGAGGCATTGAATTGAAAAAAGGGCGAGAGGAGTGACATCATGGGTGAGTGGCGTAACTCCTGAACCCAGCAGCCCTCTGGTCACATCTGCAGCCAGCTCAGGTCATCAGATCTGAGAAGATTAAAAAAGGGAGAAAACAAGTATTCAGTAAAGAGCAGTATCCAGGTAATGAGGCACGAGTGTAGAGACAAAACAAAGCCTATCAATGTGTTGACCAGAGCTTTGACTGTGTAGTCCCACTTACTGAACTGAAACACAAGTGCACTGTGGATATTACCCATGATCCCTGGCTTCCTTAACCAAAAGACCTGTCGTTGTAACAAAAACACCAAAGTCGCATTACTCCTGAACTGATTCTGGCAATTTAAGAAGTGTCAGTGAACCATCAAAGCTTGAAGCTGCTGATTTATGGTAAAAGGTTTAATTTGTTCTTAGAAAAGGGTTAATGTTGTGTTCACAGCCAGTCTCTGTTACCCCCAAGTGGCAAAAGAATTGAAGGCAGCTTTAATAATTGAAACTTAACACACTGTTAGTAATGGGTGTGTTTCAATGCTGTCCAATGGTTTAAGCTGCTTTATCACATCACTGGTAACACATGAAAAAAACAAGCAAATATCAAAACTGAGGACTTCATCAGTGTGTCACATGTGAACATTTTACAATATCACTCACTGAGCCTGTGTCTTTTTTAAAACCTGCCCAGTAGCCATCAGCTCTGCGAGTCGTGCCACAGCAGGATCGAACATCAGGCTGGCTGCAGCAACCACCACCTCGTCCCTGTTGACAGAAGGACAAATTAAAAAAATAACTGCGACAAATCATATAAGATCTTCATTATTTACATGGATCAGGGGTTATTCCACAGATGCTTACTTTATGTAAAATGCCAGGAATTTCCTCTCTTCCACTTTGCCTTTAAATATAATTTCTGTGTATCCTTCCCCGTAGCCTGGAATGAGGAATTGAAAAGGTGAAATGTGAATCGACACAACCAGGGCTGAAATATTCTGATGTCAGGGAGAGATTACCTCCAAAAATGCTAAATAAAATAAACACATGTATATTTATTACCTGTGTATCTAATGCTCTTCCCAAGCAACACAGTCCAGAAGAAAGGAACTGACTCAATTTCGGTTGGTTTCCTCAGCATGTTCAGAGCAGCCACTCTTCCTGAGGTAAAGGAAATAAAGAAATTACCATCAAGTTCTCTGGAACAAAAATGTGAGAATAAACAGATCACAGAGTCATCAGTAACCCTGTATCTTTGACTTACCATGAGCCTGTGACATTTGCCAGTGACCAACGTTTACTCTTTGGTCTCCTCGAATGGCCAGAGGGAAGCAGGTAACATCTCCAGCACTGAAAATATCTGTAATATTGGTCCTCATGAACTGTTAGAGAGGATACAGCATTAGCTTTACAAACACAAGTATATACAGTATATGCACTATTCAGTATTCAGTCATCTGTACACAGTTAACAGAGGGATTCCGATAATATAATGTGCGTGTTTGACCAGAAGTATTCAAAAACATGCAACTCAATCCATCTGCAGGCATGAAACAAGTCATACATTTAAAGCCGTATAGACAAATTCTTGCTTCATCAGCTATGCCATTATCACAGTGATTAAATGTTGTCCATTAACTGTGTGTTACCTTGTCAACAATCACAGCTTTCCTTGCATCCACCTCCACCCCGCTTCCTTCTAGAAAATCTGAATTAGGGATCACACCTGTAAAACAGATCTTTGGTTTGGATTTCTTTTTTTTTGCAGAGCTGAAAATCTGAATGTGAAAGACCCTTTTTGGGGAATTTAAGCTGAGGCAGCAGACACCAAATAATAATAACAAACCGGAGCAAAAACAATAGGGTTTTACCAATTCCAGCAATCACCACATCAGCTTCCAGGACTGTACCACTCTTTAGCACCACCTCCTTCACCTGGAAAACATAAAATAGGAATCTGTGATAGAAAATAGATCAGGTTTGAAGCAGCATATAGTTTCCATGACAAAATGCAGCCTATAACTGTAGAATTAATAAACATAAAAAAGTGTTTAAATGAATAGATCAATCAGTCTGATGGATGTCGGCACAAAGCTGAGAAAGCTCAGATCTGACTAGTTAAAATGTAAACAATAACAGTGTAAAGTGGTTATTGATTATTAATGATAGCAGTAACAATTCATATAATAATGAATTACTGAGGTGTTGTTGTTAATAATAGTAATAAAAGTAATAGTTGTTGTCCTGCAGTTCTGGAGTCAGAGATATCTGCAATGAGAGAGAACAAAGAGAGAGAGGGCTATATGCCAACAGAATAAAGGTAGATTTACCTTGCCGTTCTCCCCTTTAATCTCAGTGACTATGTCATTCATGTAAAATTTCACGTTTTGCTCCTCCAACATCTGAAATAAAAAAAAATCATTTTATAGAAGACAAAACAGGAAATTTTGTTCTCTCACAGTAAAAGGTGAATCCTCTCTCTAGTACTCACTTGCATCGTCATTTTGCCGATCTCCGGGCCCAGAGACCACTCATACGGGTAAGTGGAGGTGCCCACCATGGCCACACTAGCAGCTTTGTCCGATAAGAAGGACACCACCTCCATACCTATTGTGTTTTAATAATCATGAAAAGCACTCCAATAGCCTACCTTTACTTTGCACTGTCAAATGCATTTTTAATATTAAGAGAGCCACAAATAATCACTTTACCTGATAATCATTAAAAGAAACAAACACTTACAAAGCTCATTCCTGCGATGTAAACAAATCAAATGTGATTACCTATGAAGGAAGATCCGATGACGACAGCCTTTCTTCCAAGACAGGAGCTGTGAATCTCTTTGGCGTCTTCATGATTCTGCAGTAACTTCACTCCCTGCAGGTCCCAACCAGGACAGCTGAGCGGCCGCGCTCTGTAAACACAATAAGGACCGTCACACCCCTGTGGAAATCTGTTTCTAAAACACTTGAGGAGCAGGATTGTGATGACTCTAACCTGCAGCCTGTTGATATAAGGAGCTGGTCATAATGCTGCACAGTGCCATCACCCAACTTCACCTCCTTACCCAGTGGGTTTACAGACACCACCTGCAAAATAAAAAAACACATTTCTTAACAAAGACCAAAGAGAGTTTCTTCTCAAAACGGTGAGAGAACATCACAGAGAGTTTGTGTTCTTTCTTCTCACCTCCTTCTTTGTCCACATCTCAATTCCATGTTGTTGATAAAAGTCATTTGACCGGAGGAGGATGCTGCTGCTGTCCAGGTTCATAGCCTGAAAGGAGGTTTATGCAACTCACATCTCAATACTGGATACAAACACAAAAGATGAACTAGTTCTTTTATTTTGATCGGGACAGTGGTCATTGATCATGAGATACAATTCTGTGTGTTAGCTGTATATGCACATTTTCATCTGTTGTACCTGAAATAAAGTAAGATTACCTGTCATCTGGAAGTACAAATATCCATAGATAGTATAAGTGGTCTGGTTCTTAGACCAGTACAATAAATACCCTCCAAACTAACTGTACACCCGATAAAAAAACCAAATATATATATATAAAAAGTGGGATAATTACCTTACTCAGTTTGGGTTTGTCAAACGGAGGGAGGGTGTCTTTGGTGACCATGATGATACGACCCTGGTAGCGGTTCTGTCTCAGTGTCTCCGCACAAACCAGCGAGGCAGGGCCTGAAAAAAATCATATTCACTGTGTAATTTTTCACAGGGAACATTCAGAGATGGAGCGTAAGGAAACACGGCAGCACTACACTACCATGTGTATTTCAACAGCATCTCTGGACCTGAATCTCTTTCTTCATCCTGCAAAGTTCCTATTTACTGATTAAACCTATTGAATACACGGGTTAAGTTCTTCAACTCTCCGAAGCGCTTGTATTTATTATATCTAGTCCTTACCTCCTCCTATGAGCAGAACAGTATGTTTGATGTCCGGCACCAGGCTGCACATCTCCTTCACTCGCCTGGTCAGATTAAGAGACTGAGGGAAACACACTATCTGTTTAAAATATGGTATTTTAAGATGTGAAACGAGTGTTTAACTTGCTGTCTCTTACTTTTTTGTCGATGGAAACATACACTTTGCCATCTTCAACTTTGACCTGTTGAATTCAATTTCAAAAAGGGATTACAAGTTCAGAGTCATGTTGGTACAGGTAAAAGGGTTTTAAAAAAAGAAATATTCTGAAAGGATGAGAAAGTATCCTGTTATATTAACAGAACTACAAATGTTGTGAACTGGGGCCAAGTATTAATTTGCAGTTTTACTGCTCTTTCTTACAAAGTTTTGATTACACACTGTGAACTCAATGTGGTGAGTAACCTGAATTTCTATACATAAAGAACAGACCAGCTGATAAGTTTTATAATTGTATTCTTCCATTTAATTAGCTATCTAGCCAAAACATACAGTATATCAAGAAAGCTGTTTTCAGACATGAACTCTGGAAAATGTCTGGAAAATTGCGTCAGGACATTTTCCAGAGTTTGCACGTGTGAAGAAAGCAGCAGGATATTGTCTGGGTCAGACACATTCACAGCAACAGGAAAATGTTGGGAATTTTCAGAGGGTGGTGCATGTAGGAGGCAGAGCAAACAGCATAAATTCCACTGCGGAGAGCATGGTGGTTTTGTTACAGCGGATCGACACCAGCGTCAGCCCTTATTGCTCTCAAATCTGGTGTTCTAGACACCTCTATTTCAACCTGAGATATTTGGGTTCTTCTAGTTTTGCATCCATCTCATGTTAGAAACTTCACATTCAATTACCTGCACTTTTTCCTGCTGTATTCTCACTTGACTCCCTCCGACATTTTACAAGGGGGAATGGAAAATCAAATGAATGGGTGCAATTTTTGCAGATAAACCATCATGACTGTGACTACATTTTAAAATCTCTTCTGGATTTGTTTCTGTCATATGATCAGTAAATGTTATTAAAGTTGTTCTCTACAGCTGTGTTTCACCTTATAGCTGGGAAGAGAGTCTAAACCTGGATACTCTTCAATGTCTCCAGTTCGGACGTTAAAACAGGCACCATGAAAGGGACATCTGACTCTGTCACCAACCAATGTTCCTGCAGCATCAGAGGACAGAGGGTTCAAATCACTCAACGCAAAAGCAAAAATGAAATAAGTAATAAATCAGATGTCAATGTACAGTGATCAAAGTTTACCTTTGATAAGAGGAGCGTTGTAATGAGAGCACTGGCTTCCAACAGCACTGTATTGACCGTGGGTACGGACCAGCAGCACTTTCTGCTCCCCCACAGTAACTTCCCTCATCCTTAATAAACACACAACAGACAAGGAGACAAAATCTAGTTGACTCAAACTAATCATATAAGTATTGATAATCTTGTATTTCCTGTGAGAAGAAGACTCACTGTCCATCGTTCAGGTCGTCCTCCTGACAAACCAGTCCAGTCACCTCCTCCTGCTCCACACTGTTACCTGATTCTTGACACTGACTCATCCTGGATCTGTTGAGAAAACGTGTGAGATGTTAGGCCTGAATTCCAAATGACTGTGAGTGACTTCATCAAGTTCATTGAAGCCATCTTTATCATTATGCTACTGATCTTAGATTTTATATTTATATCTTTCTTTATATCACCCGCAGGAAATAAAGAGCAGTAAAACTCCAAATATTGTGTGACGTTACTTTAAGCTCCTTTTTATTCCCAGTTGTCTGCTGTTGAGAGTTCAATTCTTGGAAACAAAATGCTGTGTCACTCTTGCAGATAATAACAGTGTGAATTCAAAACCAGTTTTTTGCACCACACACCTACTACACACTCCTTCAGGACAAAAGACAAAACAAACAACACAACATTGTGAAACAAAAGTGTGTACATTTGACGACCTGTTTTGGGCACTCTGGATGTTTAGCTTCAACAGCTACAAACAACCACAGACAAGAACAATAGGGACTTCTGCAACAGATGATGTGACCACAGCACACATCCCTGATCTCTGGGATCACATGAGCAGACAGAAAACACTGTGACATGTTGTAAACCTCAATTATAAAACTGCTGCATGTGAACTGAGGATAATCTGTGCTCTGGTAAAAGCCAAAGGGTGGTCACACCAAATTGGGGCTGCACCTAATGACTATTTCCAGCACAGCATCAATCATTTCCGAAGCTGATCTTTAATGGAAACATCAGAAAGCAGTGAAAATGCCCATCACAAATTCCAAGAGCTCGAGGTGACGTAAATAACCTGTTTGTTTTTTTTTGTCCAAACCCCAACTTGAATTAGATTTTTGATCAATACATGGCTTGAGCGATTAATCGTGTCGTCGAGTCATCATCGCAGCTCTACATCGATCATTCATTCCATTTGTGTGTGTTTATTGAAACTTGTGTGCAGATATACTCTTATACAAACAAAGATATCATCACTTTTTCTTGAGCGCCTAAAGCGTTTGCACAGTGTTCTTGTGGTGTGAGCAGACAGAACAGAAATCCATACTGTTCTGAAATCAGCAGCTACAGAATAGGATCTCCGGTGCACGTGAAAGGTACCATACGGTATCTATTATATGCGACCTGTGTAATTTGATTGTATGCATGTATATACATTTGTAAGAGATGTATGAGAGCTCACCTGCTTTCCTTCATCTGACAGCGATCACAGGAAACGATGCTGTTGTGCTGATACACTGATCTGCGTCCACTCACCCGCGTGACAGCTAGGAGGAGCCACGTGGTCCGACTAAAGCTCCTCCCACCACGAGGGAGGGGCGGAGGAGTTCGGTTTTGGTTTGATAGCTCACTTCTATCTCTCTGATGTTTATTAGTCATGTTATCTATGGAGACTGGTTCTCCTTTTAAACTTCTTATATGGTTTCAATTCAATATGTGTTTGAAAAATGTCTGAAAACATTACTGCAAATTTTCATCTTTCCTCTCCCATATATTATTTTCCAGTTGTTTGACCTTAGAGGGAGCCAACCCATGTGTTGGGAACTACCCTTAACAACAATTAGCTATATAAAACAATACATATCTTCAACTTTCGCTGCTATAAAATAGCAAAATACTGCTCACACACATAACGTATTAACAATTTGATATGTGATAAAAAGCATGATATAACCCTGACAGAGTCCATTTCTGCAGAATGAGCACACTTTTGATTGAGAATGCACGTATACTCATGTGGGATTTGTATAGAAAGACTGTATGTAATATATTTTTTTTACAATGATGAGAATCTGAGTATTTCTTCCACCACTTTACTTTCATCATGAATGTTTATAGGCAGCGAAGAACTGCCTCAGTGCATTTTTATTGTTGTAAAACGTTTATGAATTCCCCCTCCCAAGAACATAAAGTTTTATCTTAACAAATAATAATGTGTTGATTATATTTTATATTATCAATACAAATATACAAAAAACTGAAATCATTAAATAAATGACATTTAGTAAAAGTGCTATCTTTTCTTCTGAATGGTAGTGAAGTGGAAATATAATGGTGCAACATTTCAATACTCAAGTTAAGTCCTCAAATTGTACTTAATATGCTTAATTAGCACTGGATAAAAAAAATACCTAAAATTGTCAAAGCATTTGAATAATTCTAACAAATGTGTGTTTTTCTTATATTTGCAAATAAAAAATGTTTCAAAATTGATTAGAAATGTCTATAAATGTCTATAATTTCATTTTATCAGGGTCAAATCACCCATATTGTCAATATCCCTGTCAGAAGTATAGAATATTGTGGAACATTGTGTCCGGCACAATGCACCATGGTGCTTGACCGGATGGTGGCGCTGTGTCATTCACGTTCATGGCCCTGCTGTGACTTGACTGAAGCTTCCTCCGTCACGAACACTGAATGAAACAACAGTGGAAAGACATATTTTAATCGCACTTAGATTTTCAGTTAGAACATGAATCAACATTAAAACAAGTCTCTTACATGTGATTTATTTATTTGTGACATAAACTTGAATGAACCGAATGAAAGTTATGTGGGCTTCAAGTGCTCCTCGTAATTTAAAACCTCCTTTTTCAGACAGTACTTTCAATTGCATTCCTGGATTGTGATATTTCTGCTAGATTCTAATGAACCCCTCGTTCGTGACTTGTTTTATTTTAGAAAAATAGAACACACATTACGTAATGCTGTGATATATACGTGCAAACACAGCTCCAGAGGAGGATATCAGAGGATATTTAGGATAAAAACATGGCGTAAATGAGGCCCTAATTTGAATGTCTGGGTTTATGGACACATGGATGACAACACAGGAGCCGTATGGATTCTTTCCCAGCAGATTTTGTTTTATTTAATTTTGTTTTAACCATTAGTATTTTGATATGTATATATATATTGCGTGGTTTATTTTTGTTCTACCTTTTACTTTGTGAAGCACTTTGTTCGACCCAGTTGTTTTAAAGGTCCAGTGTGTCAGATTTAGGGGAAAGAGAGGGGGGGTCCTCTCTGTGTTTTATACTGTCGTCCAAATTGGACAAACTAAAACCGTTTGAGTTTTCATGTTGGGAAGGGGATGGATGAGATGAGGGGTATTCAGCTGCAACATGCAACTTCATCACTAGACATCACGAAATTCTACACACTGAACCTTTAAATGTGCGCTATAAAAATGTATATGGCATACAGTTTCCTGTTGTTTTTTAACATTTGAAGATCTGGTCACCATTTACTTCAGTTGTATTGGATTTGGCTGCAACACCGTTTACCCCTGAAACTCCAAAAGTGCGTTGTGGACTCAAACACTTCACCCACCCCTCCATAGGCATATTTATTTTTTGAATAAACCATCTCTTTAAGTACATCAATGATCATTAATGATACAGTATATCCCATAGCACACTGTGAGGTGTAGAGTGCAGTCTGCCATGTCTCCAGTCTGCGGTGGGGAAATGTCCGACGGCTCCTGAACGTGGGAACAACACATGTAACGTGCTCGTGGCCGCGCCCCTTCATAGTAGGGTGGGTTTGTGTTGATGTCAAAAAGTTACACAAGCGACCGACGAGGCAGCGGAAGAGGACGAAGACACACCGGTCACACCTGTAACCACACACACACACACACACACGTTTCTGTTCACACAGACGAAACAGCCACGACCGTCAGATCGAGTCAGCGGGGAAATCCTCTCACACAACCGAGCACGGCTCCTCCGTTCGGACAACACGTTGTTTTTTCCGGCGCGCACACCGCTCACTACTGGGAGGAGCACCGGCATGTCACCGTGATTTCCATCGGTTAACAAGTCGTCTCCTGCGCGGGGCCACGCTCCTCACTCTCCGCTCACAGACAGAAGTGTGGCCTGCTCACTTTGTACAACACCAACAGTTCAGTCATGGAGCTGAGCTCAGTGATTCTCACCACCGGCGGATCCGCGGTGTTCTTCAGGCTCCTCAACGCGGGGGTCAGTAGGCTGCCCATGCCCGCGTCAGCCTCCAGGAACGCGTGGAAATGGAGGAATATCTCCACATCGTTCGTGCACAGCCTCGTCACCGCGATATGGGCCGTGCTCTGGTAAGTTCAACACAAGAAGCACTCTTATTTATTCTACTTACTTTTATTTTTGTAATTTAATCAGGGGATACAATATGATGCACTACGATACTCCAAGGTATGATGTGATAGTATATACTTATTTAATCCCTCACTTTACACCACAACACAGACAACAGGTAAGAGAAAATCTTTCTCTCAAGGCAGTAGACTCATGGAGAACACAGCTACACGGTGACTATCAATAAATGATCAACGATCAAATGTTTATTTTGAATGGAAGTTGGGAATTCTGGAGTGCTTGTATTCAGTTTTAAGTTAATGATCTATTTATTTTCAGACTGGAGTTTGACTTAATTTTGTTTCAATCTAGGCAATATGGCTCAACATTTAATTAAGATAAGAAACATGTATATCAGTTGATATTGATAAATATGATACATTTCACATTATTTCTTTTTAAGTTTAGTCAAATGTTTTGCTCCTGAGTGAAGGGTGTGGTTTTAAATCCGCTTTTAATGACAAACACTTGATGAACAGCATTTTACAAGTCTGAGGTCATGGGTTATACTTCCACTGTGTTAACAATGAAGAAGTAATATACCAATATATATTGAACCTTTGTTATATTGTTATTGACAGAAATTTAGATAATTATTAATAATTTTTAATCACTCAAAGTGAATTTTTACTGTAGATAAAGTTGGCCTGGTTCACACTCTCAAATCACTTTTCCTTTTCTGAACTGGTGGTTTTTTTTTTGGCAGCTTTTTCCGTCACCCGCAGATGGCTGAGGATCTAATAGACACCTACTCGGCGTTTTCTCATGCTTTGGTGTCGTTTTCGATCGGTGAGTAGCAGCTCCACTGTGTTCACTGCTGAATTACAAGTTGTGTCCTCTGAATGGGACAGGGGAGGGTGCACCCAGAGAGATGCTGCCATCCTAAGGGAAAGCGAGGAAGTAATGTAATCCATTATTCTGTTTCCTCTTCTTCTCCCACATGTAAGGGTTTACAGTAATGGGGCAGCCACAAACAGCTTTGCACATTTGTGCCATCCTGAATTCTCAATGAATTGCAGCTGACGTTTGAATGTGCCACATTATTTTATTGTTAAATCCTGTGGCTGTTAACTGACAGGTGATATTTACCATATTGTTTTTATGATGGTGTATTAAAGTCATGCTGTCTCTGACTCAAACATCGTCACTGCTGCCTTCAGTGTGACTTGGAGATTGATCTGAGACTCTTAGGTGTGTTCTTGGTAATGTTTACTCATGGGTGTGTATTTCAAGTTCACTTTATGTATACAGTATATTGCCTTAACATTGTTGGCTACAGTCTGCTCTCTGTAAACCAAACTAAGACTATCATGAATTTGATTTGGCTTTATTTCCTCATGACCTCATGCAACCCCACATTCTTAAAATAGCAACTTGCCCTGCTTTTAACATTGAGTTAGACATATGGTTTTAGAGTGTCTAGAGTCTCTCACTCTAGAGCGCTTAAATCCATAAATTTGTTGGATCAGTGCCAGAGCAACAAGTTCTCCCGGAGGATTCCCAGGATGTTTGACATTCTTTCAGGAAGCCCAGCCCTGGAAGCTGACAATGCGAGGAGCATTGTCAGTGCGTGAAGATCAATGGGGGGCATTATGATCGGTCCCAGGCACCGGGTGCAACCCCTCGTATACAGTCATGGGCATCAACAGAGACTGCGCAGAAAGTTGATTTATGTGAGCAGTCCACATCAGATGTGGGTGATAACAGAGAGGGGAGTCTTCTATATGCAAAAACATAGGAAGAACTTCTCCGAAACCCTCCCACAAGAGATGTGGAGTGATTCTTCTGAGGCGTCACTAAGTGTTCAGAGGAGTTTTACTACAGCAGATCTGTGGATGGAGCTTGGATACCACGTGGCAAAGCTCGCAGTGACATACCGTGAATGATTGTAGGCTTGTTGAATGAAGACCCTGTCCAGTGCCTTAAACAATGTCTGGCAGAGAAACCCAAGTATGGTTAATGTTTAAGGGTGTTGAGCTGTTTTCTTGGACCTGGAATTCTCAGCACTTCCTTCTCCATGTTTAGTGAATTTTGTTTTACCCTTTATAGATTACTCAATGTATCCCACAGTTTATCGTGAAAAGCACTGCACAACAGATGGTCACTAATGGAACAATATATACCATCATGCATTGCGCTCACCGCATAGACAGGAAGCAAAATCGCACAGAGACAAGAAGAGAGAGGGCAGCAAAAGACATGCTGATTGTGAATATCAGTTCTGCTTAGAAAAGAACCCACAGTGTAAGTCAAGTTTACACTGGCAGCATAAAGAAAAAGCCAAACAGTAAGATGTTTACATGTGGTACGTTGATCAGTATCAGACTAAGTCAGGTGTCATAATCAGGTTTGTCATGCTTAACCTGATTATTCCGTCAGAATCATTGTGTTGACGTCTGAAACCTGGTTGTATGACTAATTGGCTTAAAAGAGGAATCCCCCGAATCTCACTGCAGGAGACGTTGAATGGACAAAAGTAAATGTAGCAGCTACTTCACCAGAAACCAACCTTTTCCTCTGCTGACTTTTCTGTTCAGGCTTTTAAGTGATGGCAAGTGAAAAGTCAAAGCAGTGTTTGATTTCCTTGTTCTCGGTTTAGACATTGGCATTAATAGACATCAGCTGATAAAAATCTTGTGATATAATAATAACCTTTTTTGTATAAGACTTTTCAAAAAAAAGTTACAAAGGGCTTTATTGAAGAAAATGAAACAGAGCTCACAGTCAAGATAAAAACATCAAAACCTGAAAAATAGAACAAACAATCAACACAAAAAAAGTAAAACATATGTATAAAACAACATGAAAGAGGCGATCTAACTAAAACGGAGTGTTAAGATCAAAATTATAGAGCCTGGGCTTCAAAATGGCATTTTGCCCATGTGTTAGTTTTTATATAGTGCAACTCTGTCGTCTTTATTTTTCCACATTCGTGATCTGAATAGAGATCTATCACATGGTTCTGAATTATGATACTGAGATATAATAAAAACCCAAGGGCAAGATGAGAGATGTGAATCCACTTGCTGGGGTTGACGGTTCATAGAAAACCTTGATCTAAACTCAACCTCTATCGGCTATTGTTGGAAAGACTGCATTGTGTAGGAGTTCCCCTTGTCCATTGTCAACGGTCTTCTGAAACAATATGAACTGTTATGGAGACCACATAATGAAAATAAACCAATCAAATGCTTTGCAATAGCGATCTTGCAATAATTACTTGGTCCGTGGTTTGGTAGCAAGGACATTTGTTTATGTCGAAAGGAACCAAAATACGTCATCACAGCGACAGAAGGGTCCTGGTGTCAGATTTCAAACATAATGGGGGTGGGGGTTAATTCCTGCTTCTCCAAAGCCCTAAGCGCCTGTGCACCCTTCTATTCTCAACACATTTTTTTTTTCCAGCATTCAGAGCTGTCACCATGGATACGACTGGTGGCTGGGAAGGATGGGTTGGGGGTGGTGGATATGAATAGCCCCTCTCCAAGACACATCTTGGTTGCCATCGCTGTCGTCATGGAAGCAGGGGTCCTCCCCGGCACACTCAGTGAAACCCAATGCTGCTCTTGTCAAAAGAATCTGTTGCATTTTAGTTGATTAATGAATCTCTGAACCCTAAACTTAGATTTTCTGCTCTTCCCCACAGGTTACTTCATCTACGACTTCTTTGACATGGTGCTCAACCAGAAGCTGAATCAGTCCTGGGAGCTCCTCTTCCATCACATTGTGGTAGGTCTATCAAATATAACTCACAGTTAAAATCAAGCTGTGGTCCGAGATTTTATATTTGGACCGAAGATGTCACTGAGAGGAGATAACCTGCACTTTATATATGAGTAAGAAACCTGATCATGAATTCAATAAACAGTGTCTGGACAAATCTTGCGCCAAAACTCCAGCACACCTGTCAGAGACACTGACATGGGAAAGACAAAATACCAGTCTTTCTTGTTGAGTTACAATGACCAAGTGAGGGAGGAACAAAGACAACCATTCCAGTGTGACATTCCCCTCCTCCCTCCCAATCATCGAACCTTGTCATGCCTCCAGAAAGATGAACTCCACCCGACTCCCTGTGTCTTTTTGCCATCCATTTAAGCACACGACACTTTAAAGCAGTGTCCCGTCAGATCCACTCATCTTCATGATACCGTAACCCTCACACAGCAGACGATATTTTCCTGAGAGTAGAACAAGTCCGACCCTTCCCCCCACTCCTGCCTCGAAACTCCATGGAAAATAAATAGGGGAAAGACCTGAAGTGGAAACATAGAAACTACACCCTGAATGAATATTTTCCTCCTCTGCTTCTGGCTGCCTGACCTACATCCAACACTGTGCTGATGCTCTGCGTGTGTGTGTCTGTGTGTCTTTCTGTTGCCAAGCTCTTGTTATTGTAGTGCATTGTTCACCTCACAGGGGACGCATGGGTTCAACTTTTATTGTAAATGTCTCTTGACAGAATTGGAGGGTATTTGTACTGTACAGCAGAGATGATTTACGTGTGTGTTTGGCTGTTAAAACAGAAGCGTTTTTATCCTGACATATGTTGAAATATTTGTCTGCAGCATTTAGAAATGAGGCCACTGAAAATGTGCTTTTCTTTACTGCGTGAAGAAAAGAGGATATTGCACATGGATGTTCCAGTAATGGAAGGAAGACATGCATAGCCTACACGTTTTGTACTAATGAAATCCATGATTTCAAAGCCTTGTCCAGCTGTTTACTGACGTTTGTCATGGTTAATGAAGAGAGAGGGAGAGAGATACAGACAGACACAGACAGACAGACAGAGAATTAAAAGACAGTTTTACTGTTTTACAAATTAGGAGTCTCTGTGGGGAAGAAAGACTCTCTGACCTTCTCCTGCTTGCCATTGAGCAAGACATACAAATAAACCAGAGTGAGGTCATAAAAAAGATGGCACCAAGGAGGATGCTCCTGTGAGGTAGCTGAATGACCCTGCTCCCTTCACCTCCTTTGTAAATAGTTGTATTTTATAGAATATATTGGAGGCTTTATTTTTATTTCATTTGTTCAGAGCAGAGTTTTGAGTTAGAATATTTTTATGATTGTTTTTTTCCTGTTATTCATTTATTTATTCAATTTGATAATTTGAGTTACCCTATTTGATTAGACTGTGTTGATTGTGTTACCAAAAATAAATATATAAGTTAAATATATCCTACCATGTTTACTTAGTTTTAGGAATAATTTTGGTGATGGGTGCCCTTTTTTTTGGCTTGAACACCTTCCCCCAAAAATGTCTGTGCACGTGCCTGTGTGTATTCAAATGCTAGAGTCAGAGGATGGTAAAGCTTTGTGAGATTTAATTTTTCGTGTGCCGAAGCGTTACTATTCCCATCAAGCACAGTGACCGCTGTGTGCTTCACCAGAGAAAAGTTTTTCCCACAATGCAGCAAGTAAAAGGTAATTTACCACAAGTAGTGTGTGAACGGAAACCTGCACTTTCTTTTCTTATCTTACTCGTTTTGGATCAGTTGTGGAGACACTGTGCTGATGTTGTCTGTACAACCTGTTTGTTGATGGCAAAGTCCTAAGTTTGAGAGTTTGAGAGAAGATAACTGTATCTCTGTATCAGAAAGTCTTGTTTTTTTTCTCCTCCACTTCCTCTAACCCTAGTGAATGGGTCCAGCTGGCTATAGATTGTCACTAGATTTCTTTCTCATTCACAGGCTCTTTGTGTTTCTCCGCTATTGCTAACATTTCTCTGTACTCCCTTTGTTTCCCTGCTGCGCCATCATTAACTTTCATTCATTCTTTTCAACGAGGTTCACTACTTGACTTCCATGGACCATGGGCCATCCTCCTTCAACGCCTTTACAATCTTGTCCCTTTTTTTTCCAGCTTTTTCCTGCAACTTTTATAAATTGGGTTATTGTGTTGGAGGTGAAAACAACAACTTCATATTGATTTATTAGTTCATGGGGGGGAAGTCCATCAGTTCCACCATGTATATACACACCTTGCTGCATGTTAAGCAATTATGGACCCCAACAAACAAAGTTTTTCATGTGAATATAAAATGAGGACAAAATATTTTAAAGCTGTGTTATCAGTCCCAACAAGTCTGTCTTGACTTGACTTAGATCTTTCAGAATGATAGAATAAAAAAGTAGAGTCAAACCTCAAGTCTCATTTTCCTCCTTTGCTGTTATGCTCTGTTCAGCCCCCCACCTCCTTCTTAAGTGTTTGTCTGCACTTATATATAATCTTTTTTTTTTTGACGCCCTCATTTCTGCAATCTGCCATGAGGGTTTCCTCTTACACAAACATAGTGAAAGACCATGTGGTGCAACTCGAGGCATGTTGATCCCTGTTGTCGCAGTCCAGGAACAAAATAATAAAGTCAAACATTCCATAGAAAGTTTTCCGCTCTCCTTCTTATTGACCCAAGTGGAGATTACAGCTTCTTATTTCTGTCTGAGAAAGATTTGGGTCCTGTCAGAGCCGCTGACGCCTCTTGAGATTCTGTCAGCCACAACCTTGTGTTTCCTTTGGAAAACAGGAAGTCCTGATAGTACTGCCAGAAATAGGGGGCCTCCCTGCAAGGAGATTAAATATATATGCACCTACTATAGATTGTATAAGAAATACAGCATCCAGAATTAATTAAGTAATCAGAAATGTGCAGATTGTATTAAAGAAAGAGCTTACTGTAGCTGGGCTGATTGAAGTATGTATAGTTAATGTAAAACCAAGATTTGTTTGCTGTGCTTGTAAAAAGAAAAAAAGGCAGATCCCATGTGGAGTCTGTTTCAGCCATGTTTGTTCATGAAACACAGAGGTAGATAGACAGAATTGTTCTCCCCTGAAGAGCGAAAGCATGTGAATAACAGTATGACCAATGTTCTCTTTGGATATTTATCATTGATGATAAAGAGTGAAAACACAGTCTGTCAGTTTGGCCCTCTTGTTGACTCTGTGCCCTCACAGACGGTTTGATGTTTTCCAACATCGTTGCTGTTTCCCTCCCAAAACTCTCTGTCATCCCTCTCTCATTAGTCTGAATTCAGTTATCTCTGTAGAGTGAGGCTCAAGGCTGACGCTCATCTAAAGCAGATCAGGGAGTCACGGGTTAACCGGCTATCTGAGGATCTGCGCTGTTTTCAATAACATCTTCTCTGCTCTGTCCAGTGTGGCCACCTCCAATTAAAAAAGCTTTAAAACAGTATATGTAGGCTCTTAAATATTCTCCCCTCTATGATTAATATTTATTCCAACTGTGTAACATCATTTATTCTCCAAGTAGCACGTGGGATTTTTCTCCTCTTCTACGTATATGCTCAAGATTGCTCCCACTGCACATCGAGCTTTCATAAACAGGTTCTCAGGAAAGATAATGCAACATTCATTCAACTTTTATTTTAACTCAGGATTACATAGAATTATAAATAGAGGTATTGAGACCTCATTGACAATATAGCAGAGTACAGGAACTAATACAAACAAACAAGAAACCGTAAAATGTGTTAAAATATCAAATGTAAGAGTAAAAGCCTTAGGAATAGTTGGCGTACATAAATTTCAGTTTATCAGCATGTGTCTGTGTGAGGACCTCCTATCTTATGTGCCGATACCCTCATATTTGCCATGTTTTCAAATTCACATTTTTCCTCTCCAGCATTCGTCTTGCACCAACCTCAGACATGAATGGAACTTGTCTCAGTTTACGGGGCATGAAAATAGATACTTCTGGGAGGAGTGTGGCGCTGTCTCACAAACTCAACAGCGAATGTCACTTTTGGAAAGCGGGCAAGTAGTATATTTGGTGGTTAGCTATGTTGTCATTGTTGTCACGCCAAGGACTCAAATTTAACAAACTGAAATGCACAATTTAAACTGCATGGTGCAAGTGCATTTTTAGGCGTATTCAACTTAGGCTAGTTTAACAACAGGAAAAGAGTTAATGCAACAGTAACATGGTTCAAGGTTTTTTTTTTTAAACTCTTAATTAATCAGTGTCAGTCGGTTCCCTTTAAAAGACTGGGTCACGTGCACCTTGGCGTGTTGTGGTCGGCAGACTTGCAGAGGGAACACTTCTCTGCATGAAGAGTGTATGTTCATTGTGCACCCTCCTTTGCATGGGTCCTGTACTATGTTGTTGATGCATCCTTAAAATAACAGTGAAATCATTAATCACTGACTCAAGACCAGGTTTTGTTGGTCAACTGCACAACACCTGTTGGCTGCCAAAGAAACTACAAGCAGCCTTATGTATGAGCTATTCTTACAATGCAAACATACACATGGTAGCACTTGTAATTCTTACAGATAAGTTTGAAGTCTTTTTGACGTTGCTGAATCAGCTCAAAGTTCTAATCTTGATCAGTTATTCTGGGGTCATTTCAACAGATATGGAACTTTCAGTGGTCACAGGAAAAAAAAAAAACACTTTAATCTGAAAAGAACAAGATATAGTATAAAATGTGGCTTTCCCTAAAGGTCATACTTCATATGTGCACGGTTTGGCTTGCATCAAAGCTGCCATCAGGATTTTCAAAATGGTTTGTTTCTCTCTTACAATCTCTTGGGGCAGCCTCATTTAAACACACAGCTCTCAGCTGAATAGACGGCTCCTCTGGGTTAAACTTCTAGTGGTTAATGTTGCATCAACAACATAAACAAGCGCGTGTGAAGTGTAGTGTGGTTCGTAATATACCCTTTGTTTTGTATTTCATGAATAAAGCAGCCATGGCCTCTTGATA